CTGGGTGGGTGCTGGGCAGAGGTGGTTTTTGAAGCTCTCCAGGTGATTCTAATGGCAGGCAGGATTGAGCTGCAGTGAGATTAGGGACCATGGCCTCACCTCAGGAGGTAGCACCAAACCAGAGCACCCTGCCTTGGCATGACTCTTTCAGTTCTCTTACTCCAGCCAGAACAAGCAACCTTCCAAATCTCTTGATCATCCCGAGACACTCTTCATTAGTTCACCCAGACCACTGTGGCAGATGTGGTCAGCATCTGCCCAACAGCCATTGCTCCTTCTTCCTGCTGAACAGAACTCCAGTTTGGTTCAGGTTGTGGTGGCAAGATGCTCAGAGAAGATGGGCTCCTCCCCCATACCTCAGGGGATGAAGCTTAATTGATCTAAATCAATCATAGTAATAGTAATCCCATTCATCTCTGCCTGGGACTGGTGTGCAGGCATGTGACATAGTTCTGGCCAATGAGATGTAAGGAGAACACGGCTGCGGGCTTCTGGGAAATCTTTTCCTTCCCCATGTAAAGAGATATATAGAGAGAGGGCCCTGCCCCTTCTCTCTCTTCCCTGCTTTGACACTATCGTGTGAGAAAGCACAGCTAAGAGCGGCCACAGCCATCTTGTGACCCTGTGGGAGGCATGACTGACACTCCTTAAGGCCATCCCTGCACTGCAGGACCAACCCTGAAACAGCGGCTTTGAGATGTATTGTTAAACGAAATAACAAATGTCTTTTGTATTTCAGCTTCTTTTGATGGGGTATTCTGTTGTTTGCAGTCAGAAACTCCCAAAAGATACAGACTTAGTCACTTAGTAACATCTCACAAGTGAGTCTGACAAAGAACAGCTGGTTTCTGATTGTCTTAGCAGGTCTCTTCCAACATCCAGGAGGTACTTTGGCAGTTAAGATGAAGCAATTCATAGTTAAGACTCCTACTGACTCAATCCCTGAAAACTAGAACCTTCTCCCCCACAATGAAATCCTAGGTAGTTAAGAGACTGTTTGTAATCAACTGGTAATTAAATGGACACTCATTCATTAGCATCCCTAAGAACAACTTGGCTGCTGGACAGCTTTTGGAGAACATGGCCTGGGGTGGTAGAGGCGCTGTGGAAGGGATAATGTGCTTAAAGGCAAAGAAATACCTAAGGTGCATAGGTTAAGAGCTGAACCCCATTAAGTAGAGAATTTTCATGTAATTTTTTCAGCTGATGAGTTTTAGGACCACTCCATAGTCTTATGTCTATTCAGTTCGATGAAGTTAGTTAATTTTCCTTTGCTTTGTAAATTTCCACCAACTTGCATTTTAATATATTTGTGTCTTTAAATTTGTATGCAAAGATTGCATAGGCCATCAATTTGATGAACTCCTCACAGGGATTATGCGGTAAATATAATTAAAGCATCGAGATTCCACACTGACAAAGCAGAAAGTGTCTTGAAGTGAATATTAGAATTCTAAATTAGTAATTTTTATTCCACAAGAGAAGCAATTTTTTTCTCTCTGAGTCACATCTCTGTTATGGTCATAAAAATCAAAGAAGAGAATTGCAAGCATTAAAGAAGTATTTATTTAATCTGTTATCTTTTCAAGAATATACTAATACAGAAATAAAGATAAGCTATAGATATTAAATATGAAGTGTGTGTGATGTAAGCTGTCATATAAACTGTAAAATCCAGGGGTAGAGTCTGCAGATAAAAGTATCTATGAGTCTATCATTTTGTTGTATTTCTGCATCTTTGAGTGTGTAAGATTATATTATTACCCTATCGAACACCTATATAATTCTCACCTTAACTCAAGATCCAGAAATTCAGCAGGCATTTTCAAGTGAATGTAAAGATTCTTAAGTTCTTCTTGATCCCTGTAGCCCCACACGGGCTATACTCTGAGCTAAGTGAGAGGAGAAAATAAAGAGCATATCTTAACAGTCTCAGCAGTCTACGAAGCACCGCTCAATGCTGTGAATGACAGTCCTCAGTCTGAAAAATTGTATTTACACGCGGACAATGTCAGATGGCACACGGGACTTGGACATCAAGAACATCAGCTTTTGGGTCACTCTATTAGCTGTGTGATGTGAGCAGATCATTCACCCTCTCTGAACCTCAGCTATCTCCATTTTCAAATTGGGATAATAATCCCTGAACTAACCACCTCTCCAGCTTCTTGTAAACTCCAAACCAATAAAAATGAAATGCTCCAAATGAAAGCAATTTCAAAACTATAAAGTGCTTATAAACGTCAGATACTTACAATTAATACTTTGCTTTTCTCTGTAATCTCATTAAGGTATAAGAAATGTCAACAATTTTGTTTCTAAAATAATTCCACTTACAAAGCTTAACTATGTCAAATTCTGTTAAATAGCCATTAGGCAACATGGGGAACAGCCAGGTCAGTGTATTAGGCCATTACTGTGTTAGTCTCTGTATTTTCCCACAGAGCATCCTTCAGTGAGGTAAGCTGGGCAGCTTTATTGCCTTAAATAATAGCTTCCTATAATTCTGCCCTTGTCATTCTTTTCAATTGTTCTAACTTGCCTGGCAGACGTTTCCTGGCCAACTGAGCTGACTAGCTTCAGGTTCCAGTCGTGTCCTTATGAGGTCTATTTTAGACCAAGATCCTAGGGTGTAAGACCATAGTAATCAGCTATACAAGAGGTTTTTAAACTGAAGTTTCAACTGAGATGGCAACTGTATAATCATCCATTTCAAAGTGAAGGTGAGGCAGTCTCCATAGGGAAAGTTACAAAGAAACATACAGACTCCCTGGACCTAGGGGTCAGGCTTAGGCTAAAAACAAGGAGTGAGAGAGCAGAGGGGGAGGATGCGTGAGGAAATTTCTTTGGAGAGGAGTGTGATGGTGCCACCTCCTTGGTCTCAAAGCCAGTGAGAGAGAGGGGCTTCGCAGGGGGGCCAGCCAGACACTGCAGGTAGGGGGTCCAGTGGGCTTGACCCAGGAAAGCTAAAGCTGCATCTGTGACAGCATGGAGGGGGCTGCACCGGGATGGGCCTGCACTCTCAGAGTCACTGGAGCAAGAGATGTGTGGGGTTTCCCTTGGACTAGAGGTGGGGTCATCTTGGGACCCATCTAAAGGGGCTGGAGTGAATGCTGGATTTCTAGGGGCAGGGAAGAAATTGCAAGCTCTCAGTGGAACAGTGCTGCATGCCCCCAAAGAGTCCCTGGGAGACAGGGCTCCATTTCCAGAATCTCTGAAGGACCCAGGAACAACCCCCATGAACTGCTTTAAGCCTAGGCCAGGCCCAGCACGCTCAAAGCCAATCAACTCCAAGAAGAAGCGCTCCGACTCCTGGTGTCTCCTCTCCCCACTCCTGCCCACCTCCACCAGGTAGGGTCTTAAATAGCCTCTAGCGAGTGGGGGAGCGGTGAGCCTAGGCCACACGCATCCCTGCTGGGAACGTCAACTACAGACCTTAAGTCTGACACGGGAGAGGGGGACAGACCCTTACTTTCAGGTGAAGTTTGATGCATTTGTTTATATCTTGTGCCCAATGTTATAATTTTGGAATGAAGCTGTGGTTGAGACTTAGTTACTATAGGAGTATCAGTTATCTAAAAATAAGCAGAAAATATAAGGACCCTACCCAACCATCCAGGGGTTGGGGAAGAGAACCAACACTGACTATATTTTAAAATGGCAGTGAGAGACAAAAATAAAGTTGCATTTTGATCACATCTCACAAGTTGTGAATTCAAAATACTAGTCTTGGTTTTATATTAAATGGGCAAAGATCCCTTTGCACAATGGAGTCCAGTGGCCATAAAAGAGACTTGATGATATGACAATTCATATTGTCACTGGAAAAGATTTCAACCCTGAAGAACACAAATACTTTTGTTTCAGACCCTAACATTATCCCATCAGCTAATAAGTATTCATTGTCTGTTATGTGCGAAATCCTGTTGGGTACTTGAAGAATACTTACATTCCTTTAGTTCAGGTTAGTACTCTTTCCCACCTAGCATGATGCCTTACACATAGTATGTGCTCAAAAATATTTTCAATTTAATTATTCTTTACAAGATACTTAGCACCAAGGGCTGTGGCATTTTTCAATGTTGGCAACAACACTTCAGCTGAAAAATCTCCATATTTATAAAACGTGGTGGAAACCTGAATGAAGAGTGATTATGGTCTCACTTGTGTTTAACACTGTAAAGTGTTGCTGAACGGCCTAATAGAACAGAATTTAAAGCAGAAACATATAAACGGGGTCCTTTTTGCCAATCAACCGTGATGACGCAGTAAGAACAAAAAATGGTGGCTCATAGGAGGCCTCACTTGAATCAACCGCGGTCACTCACTAGACGCGGGGCTCCTATTTTGTCTCCTGTCGATGGGGACGCCAGGCGGCTACCTCAAAGTGCCAGGGACACTCAAAAAGATAATATACAGTGAAATACCCTTTGGAAACTCTAAAGTGCCGCACAAATGCACGGGCTTCATAATAGCAACAGTTTAACATTTGTTGATTGTCACGTCCATCGCATTTTAAATCTACTTTCTCATTCAATCTTCACAAGACCTCGCTAGGTACTATTTCCGACCAATTTACAGCTGAGGAAACTGACAGGTTAAGCAATTAGCTCCAGATGATACAGAGCCGCAACTTGAACCAGCAAATCCTGACTCTTACCTCTAAGCACTAAACTGCTGTCCAGCTTATTATTCAATAGAGTCGCTGAGGTCTCACAGAGGCTCAACAGATGTGGTTCGCTAAATTGTTAATATAAAAGTAGATGTCTTCCCACCCCGGCTCTTCCATGTTGACACCTCGCCCTGCCTCTCGCATCACCGGTTCGCACTCGGGTCCTCCAGCCCTCGCCCAGGCTCCTCCCACTGCCCCGCCTGCCGGCGCCCAGGTCCCAGCATTTCTACGCATGCGTGGGAGATCCGCGCAGGCCCAGTGGCCGAGCGGCGCCGGGAGACTTCCTTGCCCGCCCCGCCCCGCCCCGCCTGCTCCATCGCTCCTGCGGCTGCCTCGGGAAGGCTGGAGGATGAGCTGAGGCTCCGCGCTCCCTGTCTCCAGCGCTAATCACAGGTGCTTTGGGTCTGGCCGGAAGCCCCCTTCCCTGCGCCCACTCCCAACCCATTCCCTGTCCTGCTCCGCCCACCTAGCTGCGACCTGGCTCTGCAGGCTGGCGTCCCGGGCTGCCCGGGTAGGTAGTTTGTGTACGGTTACCATGGAGACGCTGGCCTGCCGGGCGGAGCGGGCGGGCAGGCGGGCGGTCAGGGTGATGATGCTGCTGCGCTCTGCCCAGGCCTGGACCTTGGAGGAGGGGGCGTTGTCGGGAGTGGGGGAGCCGCTCTCCGCGCGAGAGGTGAGGCGTCCCTCCGGTTCACCAGGGACCCCTCCTGCTGTCGTCCGCCTCTCTGTCTACGGATGGGGGAGAGAGGCGATGAGAGTGCCCTGTGCATGCTCTCGGGGTGGGGCCATGGCTGTCCTTATTTCTATACACTGAGCATTTAGACAATTGCGTGGTGCTTAATAGAAGCCCAGTAATATTTGTTGAATGAAGAGTGGTAAACTAAGGGGATTTCTAGGCAAACAGTGACCTGGCCAAGGTCACACATGGTACCTGGGCTCTTCTAGGCAACAGATAGAACCTCAATAGATGAATAAGTGTATGTGTAACAATATGCATTAAAATATATTGTATGTACCTATAATGCCTTCTATCATTCGTTCCCACGAGTATTACAGCAGGTCTTCCATTTCACCCTGATTTAGAATTACTTTAATTTGGTAGGAAAGCAAGTAGCACTGTCTATTTGTATCCTATTATGTGAATCTATAAAACTCTAATTAGTTGTTGATTTGGCATAGCTGATATTCAATAAAATACAATAAAATTAAATTTTAAAGCTTATAAAATGTCTGAAAACACTGAGCAAATGTCATTCCCTTTCTTTTGCAGTTTGCTAATGCAGTTTTTATTCATGGGAGAAAGTTTTGTTGTATCTTTTTATCAAATGGCGCTTGAACAGCGCTTAACCTTTTTTTAAGGGCCAGGCACCATGCTAAAGCCATTACATGAATTATGTCATTTAATTCTCAAAGCAATTCTATGAGGCAATTACTTTTACTACACACATTTTACAGATGAGGAAACTGAGGCGTAGAGATGTTAGAAAACTTTCCCAAGGTTACATGGCTGCGAATTGTCAAAGGATTTGAACCCTTACTCCAGCATCTAAGCACTTAACCACTGCCTCTTTGGATGTTCATATTGACACAAAAGTAATTCAAAATCGTAGTAAGGGTCTTGAGTATTTGATTTGCAGGGAAAAGAGTATGACGATGGCCAGTCTTTCCCCTCTTGCAAACATCCTGATAGTGCAGGGTTGCATTGATCAGGAAGGCTCTGCTGCAGCAAAGATAAAGACAGGTCTTTAAGTAAAACCTAAATGATGACTTGAAACTTTCTCCTAACCAATAAGAAATATTTTGTTTAAGAAGGTCTCCAGTTTCAAATTTCCTACTGCCAGTAGTGTTCATCTTCTAAGAGTCCTGTGGACGTCATAAACTCAGGACAATGATGCAAGACAGAACTCAGCGCTTTCTCCTTTCCCTTTGAAGGCCACTTCTCTTCCTGTTTTCTTTTAAAAGATCCCCTTGCCCTCTTGTCGTCCCCCCCCCCCAAGTTTGCATACCCCTTGTCACCTCTGGCCCCTTCCTGTCCTCTCAGATGCCAAATCTTGTTGGTTCTTGCGTTCTTGGTGCGTGATGCTCATTCTCATTTCTCTTCTTACCTCTATTTCACCTTCACTCCTATATCTCAGACTTTCAGTACTTCATCCGCTGATCAACACCACTTTTATCAAGTCTTACTCCATGCCAGGCAACGTGAAGCAAAGGCAAGAAGGGCAACGGGGCTAAATTTGATCTCATACTACCACATGGCATCAAGAGTCAAATGCCATTTGAATAAAGTCCAATATGCTTTCCTATTCCTCTGTAACAAATGTCTCCAATTTGAGAAGCCATGCAGCCTTGGTCTGGATATTTCCTAGGTCAGGTCTGTATTAGAAAATGGAGTCCGGTTATGGAAGTGTTGACCTTTGGCCGTGCCTCACTTCAAGCACTGGGGCTCAGAGTCCGATGGGGCAACAGTAGGTACACAGGCAATTCTAACACGCTGGGAGGGTGTAGTGACAGAGAACTGGGGGCCTTGTGCAGTACCAGGAAGGGACACCTAACTGAGGCTGGGAGGGTGGACAAAGCATGCCCAACAAAATGGTTAGCTGGGCGATTTTATAAGAACTGCCTGATTTCGTGGCTTCTGACCTTTCCCTCCTTTCCATCCTGCCCATCCCTGCCAGATCACGTCATGCCTCAAAATCTCTTTATTTGCTCATTAGCTTTTATTTAATTTCTTGACCTACCATTCAGTGCTCTCTCTGGTCCAGCTCTAGTCTTCATTTCCAGATCTTCATGTCCAGCCATACCCTCTATGTTCTTGACGCTCTGCCTTGGCTCTCTCTTTGACCTTGCTGGAAGTTCCTTCTCCACGCCAGCCCCAATGTCAGCCATTGCCACTTGCTCAAATTGAGCACATTTTCCAGAACCCAGCTGAAGCATCACCTCCTCCAGGAAGTCTACCTGACACCTTCTCCCAATCAGAAATCTCTTCCTCTTTTGTAATCACATGATAGTTTGCTGTATTTATTGCCCCCATCAGTTTCTGCCTTGTATTAAAATCATTTGGGTGCAAGCAGGGCTGATACTCAGCTGGGACACACCAAGAAGGCTGTTCTGGTTGTGAAAATACTGGCAGGTCTCTGTATTGGTGTGTAAGTAGCTGCAGCCCCCAGTCCTCTGAGTGCCTTCCTCCCACCACCCCATCTGGTGGGTAATAGTTTGAATATGATCTCTTGGCGTATGTCATAGTTTTTTGTTTTGTTTTTTGCTATTCCTTAAGACTCTATCTACCTCACAAAAGTGTTGTGGGGATTAACTGAGATGATGTACTTGAGAGTACTCACTTAGCACAGCGCTTGGTACTAAAGTAAGTGTTTAACCAGTATTAGTGGTCCTTCTGGGTCTTGAGTGAAGACAGGGTTTATTCCTGTCTGTGTTCCCAGAGATCCAAGCAGAGGGCTGTGCACGGAGAAGACAGTCAGTCACTGCTGGCTGAAGAGATTCATTCCAGTTGTCAGGAGAATTTTTGTAAAGTTAAAATTTCTGTGAAACTATCATATTATAGTTCAGGTATAGTTTACCATACATAGGCAAACTTTCAAATTCTGAGTGTTTTTTTTTTTTCTGCTTTATCTCCCCAAATCCCCCCTGGTACATAGTTGTATATCTTAGTTGCAGGTCCTTCTAGTTGTGGGAGTGAGTGTGTTTTAAGTTGGCAAAAACCATCTGTATTAAGAATTTGTAATTTAACAAATACAAAGCAAAAAAATCCTTCCACCCCCCACCAAAAACCCACTTCAAACTCAGTTCACTTGTATTATTGAACATTTCCATGTTTGATTTAGTTAATAATGTATTAATATTAATAATAATAGATTGTGCAGATCTTACATCATTGAAATAATTTCTCTCAGTATAACTGTTAAAGTGAGATTCGAGGGGAAGAGAGAGCAAAACGGAGAGAGAAAATCATGTTAGAATTTGTGGTATGAATTTACAGACATACAGATCTTAGCTCAGCAACAATCTTCCTCAAGCAAAAAGAGGAAGATTGGCAACAGATGTTAGCTCAGGGCCAATCCTCCTCACCAAAAAAATAAATAAATAATTTACAAATGAAAATATTTTTAAGCCCAGTATGAACATTGTTTCCACCAGTATCTGATCAATCTAAATTCCTGTCTACTCAAATAATTTACAGAATTCTTAGAATTTGATCTAAAGAAATGTTTCTGCTTTGTTACTCTATGAAAGAGTATAGTTTTCAATGCAAACTAAAATACAGCCAGGGAGAGCCTTAGTCAGGAATGATGATCCATTCTTACTCATCCAAAGCACTTTCTCTAGTCCTTATTAGGTTTGCCAGATCACGTTTGGACATTGCTAGACTCATTAGTGCCATGTGGAGCTGAAGGAGTCGCACACCTGATTTGGGCTCTGGAGGAAATTTTTGTTCATTGTACTGAAAATTCTCACTAAGTGACATAATTTCTTACTGCAATGGGCCTTTTAAAAACAAGCAAACCGACCAACCTGTCATGAACACTTAAGTTAGATGTTGTGGGACTGGATTTATATTATTATGCATCCAGAAATAATGTATATGTATAAAATACTTTATCCATATTTGTAATAATTAGCACTGAATATTTTTAATAAAGAGCCAATCATCTCATATCCTATATTAGAAGTTAAATGTACTAGCCCTGGCCAGTTTTTGTTGGTTGTTTTAATGTACATGATTCTGGAGACCTTGCTTAAATTCAAACTCCTATATCAAAAATTCCCAGAATAGGATTGCTTATCTAGTAATTTTTTACTGTTTTACCTAAACACATGGCCTCTCCCTGTGAGAGGAATGGCATATTCTTTGTAGTTTTCATCATACCCTTTTCCTTTTCCTCAAAAACTCTTAGGTGGGCCCTGGATGGAACTAAAGACATGTCCTGTTATCTGATGTTATGTAACAACTTGATGTCTAGACTCACAGTATAGCGAATCCTCTTTATTTGTCTAAGGAATCACCTGTTGATTCTGCTTATGGAAATACAGTCTGTTAGTTTCCTTGGGCATATGTCACAAAAATTTTTTTCTTTTTCTCCGAAGTTATTCTAAAATCGAGCAGCTGAAATATATGAATAATTTCCGTATCTCTCTCCCTAGAGATACAACATTTTCAGGGATGAGAGGGTTTCTATTATGAACACCTAATATCATATACTAATTAGAATTAAGTTTTTAAAATCTCAACTATTGTAAAGTTTAGAGCCGTCAGAGGTGTCTTGCCAAGTTAACTAGGCCCCCATGGAACACGCCAGTGTTTAAGAAGGATCTGCAGGGGCTAGCCCGGTGGCGTAGTGGTTAAGTTTGCACACTCTGCTTAGGTGGTGGCCCGGAGGTCGCCAGTTCGGATCCTGGGTGTGGACCTACACACCACTCGTCAAGCCATGCTGTGACACCATCCCACATAGAAGAACTGGAAGGATTTACAACTGGCATATACAGCTATGTACTGGGGCTATGGGGAGGGAAGAAGAAAGAGGGGAAGATTGGCAACAGATGTAAACTCAGGGCCAAGCTTCCTCACCACCCCCTGCCCCCAAAAAAGCATACTTAAAAAAAAAAGTTTAAGAAGGATCGGCATTCTCTTGGCCCTTGTGCATGACTTCAACTCTTTAACTGAGGGAGGCAGCCTGGGAAAGGATAATTTGATACTAATATTTGGTATCTATTCATCTAGGATACTATCTCAAATTGAAGGTGATTTAAATTAATTCATTCAAATATTATCGTGGGTAAATGTGAGGCTGAACCTTTCTCTGAGTTTACAAACTACGTTTGTAAAAGAAAATATAGTTTGGAAATAGGCCCCATCTGTCTAAATTTAACCTTATACTAGCATTTTGTGTGGGGGGCAGTGGAAACGAAAAGGAAACATTAGTGAACATCTGAACAGAACCACTTCAGTGTTTTTTTAATAGATTGGTGAATATGAGATGATTTTCTCTTTCTAGTCTGTGCTCTTTTGTCATTTATCCTCTTTCCCTCCAGGTTTCGCTTTCATTCTGGATCTCTTTCCTGCACATTTTCCTCAATCGCATGGATTCCCGTAGGCATAACTGTGCACATCAACCTATATTTTTGAAAGCTCTTCTCCCATTCTGATCTTCCAACTGTAACTGCCTGGTAGATTTTTAATTAAAAATTGTTTGTGACTTTTTTCAGGTTGAGAGTAGAGGAAGAGTTTAAGCACATATGGATGGGTTTAAGCATTCCTTTCTAAACTACTGGATGAAAACAGTTGATATTTTGTACTGTATGTTTGTAGGGTGTGGTGTCTACCTGAAGAACATTTTACTTTAAAAGGGAAGATGCTGTCTCCAAATGATAAAAAGTTAGAAAAGCTGGGGCCGTTCTATCGACCTTCAGTGTCCAAGCAGAAGACCAGTGCAGAAATCATAAGTGAAGCTCGAAATGCCTTGAGAACAGTTAGGGCCCAAAGGCCATTCACACCACGGGAAGACCAAAGAAAACTATTTGGACCTGCGTCTTCGAGGACACCAGAAGGTAGGCCTCCTTCCTGCTTCAGGTAGGTGACATTTCTCTTCCAGATGACATTTTCCCTTAATTCTAGGTACGGATAGTGGCTTTTTTTAAGTTTGACTTCTGCGATTAAGTTTGACCTCTTGTATCTGTTCAAGATTGCTAAAGATAATTCCAACTTCTTGGGCCCAAGAAGTTGCTTTGGTTCGAAATGGTTAATGGTGGTTGTCATATCAACTTTATAAAGCAATATGAGCAAAGCTTTAAAGAGATCACTGTGTACATTTCTTCTTTTCATTATTCAATATTTTTTAATCCTACTAAAAGCAATGAAAAGATATTAATAAAATGTTTTAAGTACTATGATTTTTTAAAATTGCTTCTTTCTCAAGACGTTTGCATTGAATGCTTTTCCTTGTTTTGGGGCTAGAGTAAACTAACATATACTAGAAATAAAAGAAATGATTCTTCACAAACTAATGTTTCTGTCCCATCTCCTGTGCTAGCCTCCACGCGGCCAGTTTTGAGTCATCTGATTCCAGACCCTTCTCTGGCGCACGTCTCAGTCCACTAGAGCTTGTGAGTACTTTACGTTTCCACGAGTGCTGTGACATGGAACTGGCCAAAAATGCTTGGAATCAGCATGTATATGTGCTGAAAATGATCGCATGGACCTAATGTACTGATAATTTAATACAAAAGCAAATTCTTTTATACTTTTTCAAATATAATGGTTGGTATCAAATGAAACACATTATTATTTACCTGTAGTTTGATAATAAAGAAGAATTTTAGAAATAGTTAGTGAATTGGCAAACAGAATGTTTCACAATAATTTTTTTTGTTCTTTTAAAAAGAGTTATGCACATATATTTTTTTAAATTTTATTTTTTTGAGGAAGATTAGCCCTGAGCTAACATCTGCTGCCAATCCTCCTCTTTTTGCTGAGGAAGACTGGCCCTGAGCCAACATCTGTGATCATTTTCCTCTACTTTATATGTGGGACGCCTGACACACCATGGCGTGCCAAGCAGTGCCATGTCCGCACCTGGGATCCGAACGGACAAACCCTGGGCCACCGAAGCGGAACGTGCGAACTTAGCTGCTGCGCCACCGGGCCGGCCCTGCACATATTACTTTTAGTAGTTATATATACAAATAAATTTATATACCTGTACATAAAGAGTCAAAGATTTGTTACAAAAAAACCGCCAGCAGTCTCCTGTCACCTTATTTTTCATTCTCCCCTCCCTAGGGGCTCTCATTTTAAACTCTCTTGGCACATCCTTTTGGCATTTACATTCAAATTTCTAAAAACACAGCGTCTCGCTACTCTCTGACTTATGAGTTTGAGGAATTGTCTAATGACTTCCCACTAAGAAAGATGAGGATTTAACTCTTATCTCTACGCTTCCTCACAAGGCATTCACCCTTTCTGTCCCCACTGCTGCTCCTAATATAGATACATTACGATTTTGGTCAGATCCTTTTTCTCCGTCTATGATCATATAAACCCTATTTCCAGCTGAGCCTTGAACTAGTGATGACTAATGCTGATTACTTCTCCTTCCCTGTACAACTTTTTGTTTTCCCTGGTGTTAATAATTGTCTTGCTTTTTTAGTTTTGTATTATTACTATTTAAATCCCAAACTCTTCCCCAGTGGTCTAAATCGCCTTCATATATTCAGGCACATGAGGTATTCTATTGATTCATCTCTTTGGAGAACTTTCCACACTCTCTCTTGGATCACTCGCCCTAGGCATCTGGCCTATAGCTCACTTCTTCCTCTTGTGCCAGCTTTCCTGTTTCCTGTATTCTAAGCCCTTCTCTCTTTTTTTTTGGCTGGGAAAGATTTACCCTGAGCTAACACCTGTTGTGAATCTTCCTTTTTTTTTCCTCCCCAAAGCCCCAGTACATAGTTGTATATTCTGATTGTAAGTCCTTCTCATTCTTCTATGTGAGCCACCACAGCATGGCTACTGACAGACGAGAAGTGTGGTTCCGCATCTGGGAACTGAACCCGGGCTGCCAAAGTGGTAAGAGCACCAAACTTTAACCACTAGGCCATCAGGGCTGGCTAAGTCCTTCAATTTCTTTTTTTTTTTTTTTTTGCTTGAGGAAGATTATCCCTGAGCTAACATCTGTGCTAGTCGTCCTCTATTTTGTATGTGGGTCGCTGCCACAGCATGGCTTGATGAGTAGTGTAAGTTCATGCCCAGGATCTGAACCTGTGAACCGGGGCTGCTGAAGCAGAGCACACCAGACCCAATCACTACGCCGTGGGGCTGGCCCCAGTCCTTCTATTTCTTGATTTACTCTTGTTTTTGTGGAGTATTCCCTCCAACAGCTTCTTGAGAAGGGGTATATGGGAAATAAATTATTTGAGACCTTGAGTGCTGTTTTTCTCTCTGGAAGTTTGTAGGATTTTTCTCTTTGTTCCCAGTGTTCTGAAATTTCATGATAATGTGCCTTTGTCTTAGTCCACTTTCATCCATCACCTGGGCATTTTCAATGTGGAATCTCATGCCCTTTGGCTCTGGGAAATGTCCTTGAATTATTTTGATGTGTCTCACCCTCTTTTTTGTTCTGTTTGCTCCTTCTGGAATTTACTATTCAGGTGTAGGATCCCCTGGATTGGCACTTCTATTTTCTTATTTTCTCTTTTTCTATTTCCCATCTTTTTTTTGGAAGAGACTTTCTAATCCTTCATTGAGTTCTTTTTATTTCCGCTATCATATTTTTAGTTTTCAAAAGCTTTCCCCCCTCTAAATTATCTTTTTTTAGATGTAGTATTCTGTTCTTGTTTCACGGTTGTAGCATCTTATCTGCGTATATGAATGATAGTTTTGCTTTTTAATTGTTTTCTCCTCCCTTTAAAATCTCTGTTGCTTGTGTATGTGTGTGTGTAGCTTAAACAACAGAAATTATTTTCTCACAGTTCTGAAGATACATCCAAGATCAAGGTGTCAGCAAGGTTGGTTTCTTCTGAGGCCTTTCTCCTTGGCTTGTAGATGACCATCTTCTCCCTGTGTCTTTACATGGTCTTCCCTCTGTGTCTCTGTCACATTTTTATGTTTGTTTTGGACTCTGCTTTTCATATCAGAGGCTCTCCTCTGATAGCTCATGCTGCTTGTTTGGCTGTTCCTATTTGAGAGTGGAAGCATGTGGAATGGGTTGGTCAACCCATAGGTGATACCTACCCACATCTACATTTAGCAGGTCTGGCTGAGCTGTTCTGTTTGTGAAAGCCCCAATGGCACTATCTTTGGGGCTTTCCTTGTAAGGTAGTCAATTCTCTATGGGAGTATATTCCAAGCTCTTGCCTGGAGCATAAAGGCTGGTTGCTAACTACCAGAAGCCAGGTACAGGAAGGAGGTAGGAAAGCCTAGCATTCAATATGTAAATATTCAGTTAATATCTATGTCTACAATACATGCCCTCACCCTCCACTGTGCCTGGTTAGCCTGATTCAGAGACCCTCTGTTTTACCCCCTGTAGAGAACAACTTCCCATCTGTTCCTGGGTTCAGCAGTCTGACCTCGTGGAGCTGGAAGGGAAGGAGTTACACAGACTTTCAGCCAATCCTCATTTTAGGCACCTCTTCCCTTATTTCCCTGCTACCACAAGTACCTAGTGATGCCAGTTCCTTAGACTTTCAGGGAATTGGGCTTGCAGTCAAGCTACTTCTCAGTTTTTATTACTGTATATGTGTGTGCATGTTTGTGTGTGTGTGTATGTTTTTGATGAGCTATTTGAAAGTAAGTCACAGACCTTATAAGACTTCATCCATAAAAGTTTAAGTGTGCATCTCAAATGAAAAAGACAGTCTCCTATATAACAATACTCTCATTATAGCTCAGAAAATTAGCATTACTCGGTGGTATCATTTCATGTGTAGTCCATGTCCAAATGACCCCAATCGTCTCAAAATGTAACTTATATTCTTAAAGTACTCAACAAAATGCCTCTCCAAGGAAAATTATACTTGTTCTTATGTTACAGATGACAAAAATAAGATTCCAAAATAGTATGCAAAAACCAATAAGCAGTGACTAATTTGTCAGCTGTGGTTGACACATGGCTTCTTGCACCTACAACCTTGGAAACCACTTGGGTTTTGAGCCAGCTACAGCAAGAGAGCCCCTTGTTTGGCAGCCCAATGGGTCTACCTTGTTGTAGAATGGCTCTCTATTCTATGATTCTGTCATTTGACTCCTATGAATCATTTTTAATACTGCTGTAGTCTTTTGAGACTCACTCAATTTGGGCCTACTCTTTTCTAAAAACTCTATTTCTAAAATATCCCTGGTCCTTATCAAACTGGTGGAATTCTTGGACTACAGGATTAGGTGTTAGGCAAAGATAATGTTGGCAGTTGCCTCTGTTTAGGGTCATTGCAATTAAATGTCTTTAGTGTAGATGGTTGGGTGCTATGTGCAAAGTAAAAGTAGGCTAAGATATCCACATGTTAAATAAAATAACTCCTTTAGTTTGAAATTTTTTTGTTAGTGGATTATGTAAGGATCTTAAGTATATTCCATTTTAAACAGTAATTAAAATTTGGAGCTCCCAGTCAAAAAATTCTGAAAGTGGCCTCACACTGCCTGCCCTTCCACCTTCCTTCCTCCTTTCCACTTCACAAAGAGCCCTTTGACTCTGGTAACCACTAAACTGACAAAGGGAAGAGATAAGGGGAAATAAGAGTGAAGGGAGACGGAGTGGACAGAGGAGATGGCTGAGGGTGGGGCTGGGGTATCTGATAGTTACGGGACACCCTTGTTGAAAGGATTTGTGAAGACCTAACCAATTGAATTTTAGCACTTTTTGGATCTTGCACACTTTCTCCAGCTAGTTTGCCTTTTAATAATTCCTTTTCCAACAATTCCACTTCTGGGTATTTATCCAAAGGAAATGAAAACACTAACTGGAAGAGATATATGCTCCCCCATGTTCACTGCAGCATTATTCACAATAGCCAAGACATAGAAACAATGTATGTGTCCATCAACAGAGGAATGGATAAAGAAAATATGGTGTTTCTATAGGCAATGGAATATTATTCAGCCGTTAAAAAGAAGGAAATCCTGCCATTTGTGACAACATGCATGAACCTCGAGGGCATTATGCTTGTGAAATGTCAGGTACATACAAATGCTGTATGATCTCACTTACGTGTGAAATCTGAAGAAATAAAACTGAACTCGTAGATACAGAGAACAGGTTGGTGGTTGTCAGGGGTGAGGAGTCAAAAAAAACCAAAAAATTTCTCAACCAGCACTCAGTTAGGGAAGAAGGCCCCAGAGAGCAGCCCGTTCCAACTCCCACATTGAACCAATCTGCTTTACTCTTTCACTTGTCGTTTACCCTTCTCTCTATTTCTCCCCCCACGTCTGGCCTCTGCTCCCCTACACTCTCCAGCAGGCAGTGGGCTGCCTACACTCGAGAGAGCCCTGGGTCTCAGAGCAAGATAGAAAACTGATGCTCCTGGTCTTTACCACTCAGGCCTTGGCTGGCTGGCCTGACTGGCTCACCACGGTTCTTGTTAGCACCTGGAATCTTGTAAAACCGGGGGGAAAGCACTGTGGTTTGCGGTCTTCCGTTAACATTCATATCTACCTGCTATATCGATATGCCCAGGAACATCTCTCTTCTTTCTTAGTGGCTTCTCACCTTCCCGTGAGAGCTCTGACTCGTGCGGCTGTTGGGCGGTGGTGATTTCTATTTTCACTCCATCCTCTGGCTCGCTGATGTTCAGATTTATACACGCAGGAACAGCTGCTCTCATACTTCAGATTGTATAAAGTAGGAAAAGAGATGTGGCCATGTGAATAAATAGGAAGTTTTGTCTTTCATCACTATCATTGTCAAAACAGAATTCTCCCTGTGTTTCCTAACCTTACAAAGCCTGGTTGTTTAAGCTCCAAGTATTTTAATTAAATTTTTTGTTGACATACAGAAAAGACACAGATCATAAGAGTGCAGCTTAATAAATTTACACTCAACACGCTCATAACCAGTGTTCAAAAGAGAAAAACTAGGTTGTTCCCGGCACCCCAGACACCACCTCCCCAGGACATTAGGACCACCTCCCAGCATAGATTAGTTTGAGCTGTTTTTTATATTTTGTAGGAACAAAGCTCTAAATATTGACAAGTAATAGAAAACTTAATATATTTTAAAAAGAAAGGGACTTAGAAGCCCATATATACCTTGGGGGTGGGGGAGATCCAGGGTAAGAAAAAGAAGAGTGAGAATGTCAAAGCACTGTTTCCTCTTGCACTATTTCTGAAGCGAATGGTAACATTACAGCAGCGAGTCCTACGCTGAGAGTGACCGAGGAGCCAGAGAGCCTGTGGAGAAAATCACAGTAATAGAAATGCACTTACAGTTGCCACATCCAAAGGTTATGTGTTTGGGGGAATTTTTAATATTTGCTTTCTGACTTCCAAGAGGTCTTTTAGTGTGTGGTGTATGGTGTGTGTGTGTGTGTTCTGTTGTTTTACAAATTAAATCATAGCAACTTTCTGAGGTGGGATGTCACGTACTCCCTTGTCCAGTCGTCATGTAGAAGGAGGGAGACCCCGCCTTCCCATCTGGTGACCCAGAGGCGCCATGTCAGAAATTGGTCAAAGCCCCTGGTGCTGGGATGAGAGTCGAGGCCGGCCAGATCCCGGAAATGTTCTGGGCAGTTTGTCTTTAATTGGGTTGTTCTATGAAAAATAGTCTTTCCCTCTTCAATGGACTCTCGTAGTTTTATCAACCAGAACAAATCTTAAAATCTGACTTTCCCAGGGTCCTTGATTAGGCTCACGTCACTGGTCAGTGTCGTGACACAAACTGTGAGGGAGGTAAGGTTCTCGAGTCAAGATGGAAACTTGCCACATTCCCTGAATGCTAAAATGAAGCGAATTTTATGAGAAAAAAATTTTACTAGTTTGCTTCGTAAAAGCCATTTTGCTCCACAAAGTTGAGGAACGTTTCGTAGCACCTGGCATGGTAAAAGTTGATGGCCTTAGTAGTTTTCCCTTGACGTAATAAAGATGCTTTACACGTATCACTTTATATTTTATGTAATGAAGTATGTATTTAAGTGGGATAAATAATTTAGTAAAGGTCAGTAGTAAAATGGAACTAATTTTTCATTACACAAACAATTACTAATTTTGCACTAGGAAAATAGTGCCTTTTATCAAGGGCTTTATCTTGCCATTCAGAGATAATTCAGTTTCTCTCTTTGGGGTAAAAATTAGCTTTGCAATACCGTATTTTCCCTTTTTGTCGGATGTTTTATTTAGTACCAGAAACATTTATAGCAGTTAAGGCCTCTGCAAAAGAAACCATTTATCTCATCAGCATTGTTATTATTTGGCAGACTTTTCGATCTTTGTTTCAGATTCAAGGTACCTGCAGAGTACAGATATTTTGAGATAAGAAAACCTCCTATCTATTCAATACTCATTATCTTTATGTATTTCATTTTTCATAATTATATCTAAAACACTTATTTTCCTGTATTATATGTGCTCTTAGCTTTTCTTTTAACTCTCTGCTTTATGGCCTAAGTCACATTCTGATGACCAGTTTGCAACAAATTGAGGAGACTAAAAGGTAAAGTGACTATTTATTAAACAAATAGAGCATAATTTATACAGAGAAATGAATGCTGTCTCCTTCAGAACAGACCCGTCCGAATTCAGCATCTTGGTTCCAGCAAGGTTGTGTCAGAGGCTAGGGCCTTGGCTTTTGAGAAGACCTAATAATAACTTAGAATCAAATCTGGTAAATAAAGAGTGAGCAGGGAAGGGAGCTAGCATTTCTTGAGTCCCCATGACAGGACTTGTATGGGCATCAGTGTCCCTGCATGAGGGGGCCTACCGTCTCCATCTGCTAGCTGGGCCAGTTCGGAGACGTAAATGGCTTGTCCAAGTTCACAGAACTGGTAAGCGGATTCCACTCCAGATCGGTTTGATCCCGAAGTCATTTATTTCTCCTCTATATTGTGCTGAGTCTTTGATTTACCCATTTTTCTAACTGTGTTTAGAAAAATGTGTTTCTAAAGTCATAAAACAAATTTTTTGGTCCGGTTTATGCACCAATTCCAGATGCAAATGAACAAGAGGACATAGAAAATATTTTGAAGAATGTCATCATTACTGAGATAAGCAGCTTCTTGGGAGGAGAACTCTGATATAGATGTCTATGTTCTGTTAGTATATATGAGAAAATGAGTGTTTGAAATTGTGTGTCATATATGATGGATGACCTCCTCTATTCTTCCAAATTATCTGACTTGAATTAAGCACTAGACTTCTAAGATTTCTGTTAATTAACTTATTGGATTGAGAGTCATTCATTTCACATATTACAGAAGTGACTTTAGGAGCTTTAACTCAATTATTTTTGGTTAGAGAGCTAAAAGCACTTGCTGCCGTAAGATTGCTCTTTCACAGACAAAAAATTGTGCTCAAGTTGTAGAGAGGAAGGATGGCACCATGAGGCAACACTAAAAGTGGGAGCTGAGGGGCCGGCCCCATGGCCGAGTGGTTAAGTTCACGGGCTCCGCGTCGGCGGCCCAGGGTTTCGCCAGTTCGGATCGTGGGCATCGACATGGCACTGCTTGTCAAGCCATGCTGAGGTGGCGTCCCACATGCCACAACTAGAGGCACTCACAACTAGAATATACAACTATGTACTGGGGGGATTTGGGGAGAAGAAGAAGAAAAAGGAAAAAAAAGGAATGGCAACAGATGTTAGCTCAGGTGCCAATCTTTAAAAAAAAATAAATAAAGTGAGAGCTGAGGCCCCTGGGACGTTCTGGCCCGAGTGGGAGGCCACTGCCATCTGGAGGTTAGACCAAAGGGAGCTCTGGGTAGCACAGTGCTTGGTGCAGGTGTTTTTAAAAGTCTTTAAGGGATTGGAATTTTGTCAGCAATGTTCCTTTTCTAACGGGTAGCAGCGTAAACTTCATGAGATGTAAAAAATAAAATGTTTTATATCATAAGTCCAAGACAACTTCTTGCACTTATATTTTGTGACTTTTTAATCTGAATTATTAGAAGAAAAATTATATTATTAAAAAAATACTTTTGTGGAGTCCAAAATATGTAAAGGTAATATTTCTATTCCACATAGTTCTTGGCATATAGGTGCTCAGTAAATGTTTTCTGAGCAGAATTGAACATAAAAATTCCCAGAGTATGTTGAATACACCCAACCTAATTTTACTCTGATACAGATAATATCTGTTTGCCAGCATGGTTAAACTATTTCTTTCAAAAGCACTAAGCAAGGGGCTGGCTGATGGTGTAGTTGTTAAGTTCACACGCTCCACTTGGGTGGCCCAGGGCTCGCAGGTGCAGATCCCAGGTGTGGATCCCAGGTGCAGACCTACGTACTGCTCATCAAGCCATGCTGTAGTGGTGTCCCACATACAAAATAGAGGAACATTGGCACAGATGTTAGCTCAGTGACAATCTTCCTCAAGCAAAAAGAGGAAGATTGGCAACAGATGTTAGCTCAGGGCCAGTTTTCGTCACCAAAAATAAAAAACAAAAAAAAACACTAAGCAAGACAGCAGAGTGTTTAATACAGTAGAACCGACAAAAACAATTTAAAAGTGTTATATATAACACATTAGATGGGCCAATGAGACATATGGCCCAATCAAGGCCTCAATCAAGGAGCCAAGATGCAGCCTGCGTGAAGCCCTATTCTCTCCCAGAAGTGTCAGGGCCAGCTCCAGAGTGGTGGGTCTTATTTGAGACACGGAAACTCACGCTAATCAGTTAAAAAATCTCTTTCCAGAAACCAAAAGCTCCGACATCTCCTGCCACAGAGGAGGATCCCTGCCCTTCCTTTCCTACACCTCCGGTGGACCCTGCGAAGATTCGCAGAATAAGCCGAGCCCGGGCGCGTTTGTTCAGGGCCGCCTCCCAGGGGACTCTCCTGCCAGACAGAGCCCATCCTCCCGCTGAGCGTAAGGCCGTGTAACATCCTTTCAAACCTGGGGCAGGCATGTTTCTTGAGTTTGCACACAAAAGCTATGTGTGGTTTTCTATGATTTTTTCTCGCCCTATATGATTTTACATTAAGACTTAGTATTGTGCAAAAGCTGGTTAAGAACCCTTGTTTATATATATATTTTTTTCTGGGTGTTTATAAAGCATACCTAAATATCACAGTTTTTAAAAAAACGTTATCACAACTAGAAGGACCCAGAACTAAGAATATGCAACTATGAACTGGGGGGCTTTGGGGAGAAAAAAGGAAAAAAAATAAAATCTTTAAAAAACGTTAACTGTTAGGAAAGAAATATTGAAATACGTGTTTCCTAATGAATGGGTTCGCGTGTATTGGAGATCCATGAGTTTTTCATTAGAGTTCAAAGAGTTGTTCATTTCATTAGGCATATTTAAGGTTCCTTTAATGTCCACTGAGCTTAGGTCTTTGAAAATACCTTTCTGACCCCATGTGAAAATGTAAGCAAAAGTGGAACGTGGCTTTTCCTGCTGCCACGGAATTGCTGGCGGGTATCTACACCTGGGAATAGAGAGGCTAAAAACCTTGAATTCTAAGGAATGCCCCCAACAATTGGAATCCCTCCCCATCCAGGGCATGCTAAGAGTTTTTCAAGCTGCAGGAAATGTCCCGTGAGTGGGATGACGGTCGACTCAGTGGGGCTCACTAGCGTTTGAGAAAAATGAAAGAGAAGAGAAGAGAATGGAAAATATCAGGGTACAGTGCAGACAATACGGGGAAGTATTGCTTCCAGAGGCTTTACTTTGCTCACGTACTTGTGTGTTCAGGGTCATATTATAAATTTATTATATATTATATTTATATTATATCATGTTATAAATTTATTATTATTATGTGTAGTCAAAAAAGTTGGAAAACCACTTTACCAGGGGCTGACAGAATGGGCCCTCCTTCAGGCAATGAGGATTGAGGAAGACGGATGGGTTTACAGTCACAGAGAGGAGATAACCTGAAGATGGATCCCAGAGGTCGCAAGCTGCCTCCTGAGGATCCTACTTGTTTGACATATAAGCGTTTTCTTTTAATTAGTCGCCAACATTTAATGTAGAAGATCTCATGGAAAAATCCAGATTGGTGACGTCTTGTGAAAAATTAGAAGATGTGACAACACTTGGTCACCATCCCGTGTAGCCCAAGTGAGGAATGACTAGGGCTGAGTAGTACCCACCTGGTTAGCCCGGGGTGTGATCTCAGTTCCCCAGGTCTCCCAGCCTGCTTCACTCATTTTCCTGTCTGGTCCTTATGGTCCCAGTGATCCCTGACATAGCTGAAGAGGTCGAATCAAGGAGAAAGGAAAAGACAGGGAGGCAGTACAGGGCGTGCATGTCACACTGCGATGTCTCATATCATTAGGCACCCTGCTTTGCCTCCATGTCCCAATCTGTTTCTTTTCTAACAACCAGTCAATCAGATATTTATTGAACCCCTCCCAAGTGCCAGGCACTGTTCTAGGCCAACTGAGTCCTGTCCTCAAGCAGTTTGTGAAGGGAGATAGACAATAAACAGGAAAACCAAGAAATAAGAGAATTTAAGTTGTGACAAGTGCCATGAAGAAGGTAAGCAAGACAGTGGGATAGAGAGTCACCATGGCAGGAGGAATTTGTGTCCACTCAGGTGGCTCTGGAGGTGTCCTGGAGGAGGTGGCATCTGAGTTGACATGTGAACAATGAGAAGAAGGCAGCCATGTAGAAATCTATGGACAAAGCAGCCACACTGAAGGGACACCCAGGCCACAGATGGGAGCAAGCTCGGGTGGTGGAGGACCCACAGGCCAGAATGGCTGGAAGGTGGTTAACCCTGGGGACCGTGGAGGGAGCTGAGGCCACAGGGCCATTTAGGGCCAGGCCCGGGCAGATGCCCAGGACTTGATTCTGCTTGCAGTGAAAAGCCAGGACAGGGTTTAAGCAGGGGAGAGACGTCATCCGACTTAGGTTTTCTTTCAAACAGCGGTGCTCAACTGAGCTGTGCATTAGAATCACCTGGGGAACTTTTGACACGCTCCAGCATGGGCTGACGGTCAGACCAGTAACATCAGAGAGGACTGGTAACTGCAGAAGCAAAGTCCTTGCCAGGATGAGAGGGGCTGGGGTCCAGCCCAAGGTCGGGGATGAGGTCAGACAGGAACAGCGTCGCTTCCTATCAGCAGGGATGTCAGAGCTGGTGTGAGGGTCACCACACTGTTGTTTAGTAGATGTTTTTCCGTCTGAGCCCGAATGCTGTATCTGTGTTTAATGCTTTTGCCTCTTGGTGCCTCACGTTTGAAACCCCTGCTGCTTGCTGAGCTGTTCCCATGTATGTGAGAGTGACCGAAGAGACAGGTGTTTCGCCTGCCGTGCTCCCCTCATGGCTTAGCTCCTTCCCTCCTGAGCCACCTGGCCCTGGTCTGAGCAGCCACGCACACCTCAGCTGTGCTCTGGGAGGTGCCATCTGTGGCTGTCATTTCCCAGCACTCAGGCCGTCTTCACGCCTCCAGGTGGCTAGGCAGCATGTCTTTGTCACAGTTCTTTAATCCTCCCTGTTTGCAGTTGCCCCATGTCACCATCCTCATCCTCCCTGAGGTCTGTGTCCGCACTCAGGAAATAATGGCCGTGAAAAGCCATTGTCATTTTAAAAGCTCACATCGCCCGATTAAAAAATATATACTTTAGCACTCCGGCCTCGGAATGCTTGTCTTTGTCCAGGAGCTCCCTGGGCTTCGTTTCAGAGTCTCTATTGTTTGGAAAAGGTGTCCTTTGTTGGGAACCAAGGCTGTCAAGGCAGCTGTGCATGGAGACAGAGGGTGCGTCCCCGCCTCTGGTGTGAAGTCATTTGTAGCTGACACCGCCACAGGCAGGGCTGGCGTGTGGCGGCAGGTTTGGAATTACTGATTTAAGAAAATGAAAGGGGCAGAGATGTGTGTAGCCATCTCTTAAGGCCAGCAGTTTAATTGCTGTGTGTTCAAATAGGGTTTTTGGCTGGAGGTGACGTGTTGCAAACACCTCCCCTGTTGTTCCAGCTGGACAGACGCAGTCTCCACCTTCTCGCCCATCCCTGTTATCCTCGCTGTCACAGAGCCCTCCACGGGCTTCCTTCATATCTCCTGGGTCTGCATTGTCTGTTCCCACCACTGCCACATACCCTTTCTCACCTGTTGTCCCTGATCTTCCAGCTGTCCTGTCTTGCTCTGCCCTCAGCTCACTAGGGGGCTGCAGGTGGGTCAACCCAGGGGTGAGTCCAATCCTCAGCCCTTGGATCAGCCGGCAGAGCCTGGGGAAGCCAAGCTCCCAACCAGACCTGCATGTGAGCAGCAGCCTTATCCTGTCACCCCAGTGAACCATGAAAAATGTTCACTTTCTGTGTGTGCCATAAGGTACAAAAGGTCAGGAAGCAAATAAAAATCAGATTGCATCATCTTCTTGCTGAAAACCCATCAGAGGGGCCCCTGGGCCTGAGGGAGTGTTGCCAAATTGGGTTCCAGGGAACACTTTTGGCAAACATTAATAGCCTTTCCTTGGAAAAAGGGTTCAGTGCTCAGAAAAGTCTGCCTACCTCCTCTCCCTCTTGGAGAGTCACAGCACACACGAGCGTATTAAAGGGTTGGTAAAGCCTTCTGGTGAAGGCACCTGTTTAGTTTTGATTCACCTCAGTATTTCACTCATCTACTTGACTGCAGAGTCTGTCTTTTGGGGAACACAGTTTGGGAAACACTGACCTAGCACGGAAGTTGGCAGACTTTTTCTCTAGGGCCAGATAGTAAATATTTTACAACTTGTGGGCCATGCAGTCTCCATTCAACCTACTCAACTCTGCCGCTCAACTCCACTGTGGTCTCAGAAAAGCAACCATAGACCGATTCATGGCCACTGAAATTCGACGTTCATATAATTTTCGCGTTACAAAGTGTTGTTCTTCTTTTGATTATTTTCCAACCATTTGAAAATATGAAAACCATTCTCAGCTTGCAGGCTGTACAAAAACAGGAGGCAGGCCAGGTTTGGTGGGGCTGTAGTTTGCTGACCCCTGGTCTAGGGGATGAAGTCCCTACTCCTCAGAATGCTCAACTCTGTTGTGATCTGGCCCCAGCCTGACATTCCAGGCCCTTCTCTCGAGTCTCCTTTGCCTACCCCGTCTTCCCCCCACAACAAGTCTGTGCACCAGCAACATGGAACTCCTTGCAGTTACTCACACCCATCCTACTCTTTCAAGCCTCATACAAGACCCACTATATAATTTGCTGGGCCCAATGCAAAATGAAAATGTGGGGCTCTTCGTTAAAAAAAAATTCAGAATTTCAAGATGGCAACAGCAGCCTGTTAAACCAAGTGCAGAGCCCTTCTAAGCTTGGGGCCCTGCCTAACTGTGCAGCTCATACACCCATGAAGCTGGCTCTGACTGCAGACTTCTGTTCCTTTTTCTCAGAACTCCATTAAGCCTTCAGAATTCTTCTCAGTCTCCACCTCCTCGGTGAATCTTTCCCTAACTCCCAACCCCTCGGGACTCCCCCGCCATCTCTACTCCTGCCTACATGGCTCGGACCATGCTATACTGCGTTTGTCTCTGCCCGTCTACCTCTCTGTCTCCCTTCTAGACTGAGCCATGTCAGTAGGAAAAGAGGTTTCCCTACTGAACCTAAAACAGGTGCTAGTATATAGTAGGTGCCAAAGAAATTTCTGTGAAATGGAGCTGCTCCTGCAGGGTAATGCTGCTGGTTGCAGGATCCTTTTGAAGTTTACCCATGATCCATTACAAAATTAGTACAGTGTGCTGCAGATACTTGCCAGGGAGACACAGAGCATCATTACACACGCTCAGTTTAGTGGTGGGCCTCCATCAGGAGTTGGCGTGAGCCCCAGAGCAGCTCTTCGCTCTAGTGATAATCGACGAGCTTGCTCTGGTGGATTGTGAAGATGGCGGGATGCAGCTCCTCCCCCCACGAGTCTGAGCGTGTTTCCCTCTAGAACAGAAGCTCCGTGATGGCTGGGACTTGTTCACCTCTGGATCGCCAGCACCTTGCACAGCCCCTGGCACATAGCAGTGGGTGCTTCATAAACATTTATGGATGAATGAATGAAAGAAATGAATGCTGGAATATAGAGATAGGCTAAAAATGCTTTGAAATCTAAAACAAAGTATGTGCTTTGTAATTCAGTAGGAAAGTTATTTAAGGTAGCTTGGTGCTGTGGAGAGAGCCCTGGACCAGAAGTCAGGATTCTTGGGTCACGTTAATAATAATGACAATAACTTCTAGGTTTTGAGTGTGCTAGCACCAAATAATTCACTTCACTAGGCCATATCATTTAATTCTCACCACAGGCTAAAGAGGTGGGGACCACTGAGGAAGGTGAGAGAAAAGTTGAATGACCTGCCCACATCGTGCAGCTGGTGCATTTTGACCCCAAGTCTGATGGAATGCAAGGCCTGTGCTCTTCCCACCCATATAGTCCTGCCTCTCCCCAAACTTGCTCTGTGACTTTAGACCTTTTGGCTTCTCAGTGTTGTCATCTGAAAACTGAAGGTTAGACTAGCCAATCTCTAAGGCTCCTTTCAGCTTTAAAATTCAGCGTTTTGCAAGTAGGGAGCTTGGTCAGAGGGATAGACGAGGTGGTTTTGTTATTGTTGGTTTTTATTGGTTTTTTGGTTGAAGTGAAGAAAAGCTTGAGTCATTTTGGAAAAGTCTTCAAAACAGTATTTTTCTATGTGAAGCTCATCTACCCTTCCTCTTTGACAAAATATTTTATTACAGACTAGAGTATAGCAGTAGCATTGTGGATAAGCTATTCCTAATGTCAATTTGCTGATAAAGAAACAGTGTTGTATTAGAAGTCTAAGAATCGTCAGTCATAAACACAGTAGATGCTTCAGACTGGGCATCTTTTTGCAACTCTCTCTTATTCCTCTTTAGAAAGCCTTGTAGCTGTTGCAGTGCCCTCCTCTTTCCAGCGCTAGTAGTGGTCTGTAGGCCTCCACCATCCCACCCCTGTCCCCCTGATCATCTCTCGTACTCCTCTCCCCCTCACACACTGCACTCCTGCTGTTCCTGGAACACACCAGGCACACTCCTGCCTTAGGCCTCCACACCTGCTGTTCCCTCTGCTGGGAGTATGTTCCCTCGTCATCCAACGGCCACATACTTCACCTCCATTAAGGGTCTGCCTACTATGCCCGCCGTGTTCAAAATTGCTGCCTACAGCCATTCCCAATCCCCTTTTCTACTTTGCTTTTTTCCATAACACGTATTATCTTACATCATATACCTTATTTGTTATGGTGTATTGCTCACTGTCTGTTTACACCTCTTAGGATGTCACCCCTGCGAGGTCAGGGATCTTTGCTTTGTCACTGATGCATCCCAAGAGCCTGAGACAGTGCCTGACATTAAGGAAGCAGTCGAGAGATATTTTTTGAATGAAAAATTACTAACAGGATCAAATTTAGGTAGAGGAGTTATCGTTAGAGGACACAGAACTATTTGTGTGGACTTAGGCAGTTCATAAACCTCAGTCCGAGTGTTGGCTTTCTGGTGGACTCTAAGCTCCTGGAGATAAGATCCTGTTCGTTTTTACCTGCTGAATTGATGATGCTGATCCTAAAATAATGGTGAGGTCTCGTATATGTTTAGGGAGGTTTTGGCCATACAATTCCAGGCTTGGTTGTAAGTAATATATAATTTTCAAATTGTATAAATTCTTAGATTAAAAAAATATTGAAAGAGAGTGATTCCTAAAAAGAAATGCTTTGACAAAACTTTTTTTTTTTTTTTTTTGGTTATTACAGCAAAGAAGACAGTGGAATCCAAAGAAACAGTTCTAATGGGGAATTCTGTGGTGAAAAGAAATGCGATTTATTTAACAGAATCAAATGCCACTGGCCACTTGAAGAGCCACCCACTTCAGCTAACTTATGATGGAGGCTTTGGTGAAATCAAGGAGCAAGAAATGTTCATAGGGGCAACACCCTTGCCATCTCCTCTCAGAAGTGGAGGGTCAGTATTCTTTATATTTGATTTTCTGTCCAGGATAACTGTGTCGTTTAGCAGTTTGTTCTCTATCTTATGCAGATGATTGGTTTGCATTTTCCCTTTTCTGTAAATACATTTTGAGTTAGTGGTACATGGGTAGGAAGGATTTCTTCTCATGGCTCAACGGAGTTGGTTTCCCCTTTTCCTATTTAATCCTCAGGAAACATTTATTCATATCTGCCAAAATGCTGCTTTGACAGGACTGCCAGAATAAAGTCTTTGCTTTAGTCGGACTGTTCCAGGCAGCCCTTGAGTGAGGACTGATCATTCTGTTTGTGTGTTACTTGGGATTCTTGCCTGGGCCAGAATCCCTCGTCACCTCCGCTTGGATTAGTTCACTGTTAACTCCTCAAAAGAGAGGACACACTCATTTTATTCTCCAGTAGAAATTTGGATTAAAATATTTATTTTGCAAACTAATAGTTAAAACAGGACAGCCCTGCGGATTCCTGCTGTGATCTCCCCCTACCGGTCCCTCATGAAATGGGTGATTGGGAATTACTTTATTTCACACCATCTTCCTAGACAGGGCTTTCTAGGGCTTCCCCTAGAAAACTGAGAAGCAATTTTTCTACCATATTAAAGATTGGTGGAGAAATGTTCACTGTATGAACCACGTGAATTCTTACCCTGGAGTTTTCCTAAAGAAGCCTTGATAATTGAGGGCCCAAGTGGGGGTTAGCGTGGGGAGAGCAGACTCCATTTTCCAGTCCCAGCCAGTACTGATGCTAAGATAGGCAGAAGGTCTTGGACTGGACAGGGTCACTCAGTTAAAGATATTTTTCTACGACTTTCCGTTGAGTCATTATGGACAACTGCCCAGTTCGAATTTGCTTAACAAGATTAAATTCCATGGACCATTTTAAGACCAAGTGCTTCTTGCCCTCACTTTAGATTTCGGGTCTGACTTTGGTTTGTATGCGTGTAACGTGCCTAAAACTTTTCCCTGAACTGGCTGCTTGGCAGCTGGTTAGTTTAGCTGAACTGACCCCGTCTGCTGACACAGCCTGAAGAGTTCCGCACACGCGGGATTTACATTAGGCAACCTAGTGGTCCTTGTAATGTTGCTTTGCGTTCTGAACATTTTTTAAATTAAAGGAAAAATGAAATGTCTCCTTAAGTGGAAGAAAAGGACTTCAAATTGGGACTTTGGGTATTGAGCAGAAAATATCAAACTGGCCACTGCGACAAATCTTTTCCAGTTGGTGAATAAGAATAGGCTGCGACCTCAGAGTTTACACACGAAAGACAGCAGGGGAACTTGTGTTTTCTTTCAGCACTGAAGTGAAAAGGAAACATTTATCTTGCTGCACCCATCCTTACAGTAATTAAAGTTGACTAGGAAAAACCAGACAAGAGCTGTTTTATTTTATCTTATTTATTTTTTATTTTTTTTGCAAGTCTTCAGATGTTGCAGAATAATCTGGCAAGCCAGAGTTCATTATGTCTTCCTCAGTCTGGGACAGCAAAGGCATCTTCAGTTACATATTTTATCCCACAAACAGCAAAGGAGAAATCAATTAGGGACTGGAAGCGCTTCTTCCTGACCGTCCAAAATTATGAGGCGTTGGCGGCAGCGCTAATTGTTTTTTTGTGCTTTGTTAGGATGGCTCTTACCTCATATAATGATTGTGTCTGACTTGGGTTAGCAATACACGCTGGAAAGTTTAACTTCCAATAACATTTTTGCTTTATGAATCTTTACCTCCTTTAATCATTGGATAGGATTTTGTTGAAGTGGTGCCAAAAAAAACATTTATTCAGTAGGATTAAAACAAGCCAGAAAATGGAAACTATTAGTAATTCTTTCATTAATTACATTTGTGAATCAATCTGGGACACTTGGTAATTGTTTCTTGTAAACATTTAAGTGAGTAATTCCAAGAAATGATCTTCGCTATGCCGTGGAGTATTCCCAGTTTTGATGCTAAAGCCCTACCCTCAATTAACATGTTTTCATCTTTAGACCATAAAGTGGAAAACGGAGACTCTTGTCAGTGAGCGGGGCTGGCAGAAGGGAGGGAAGAGAATGCAAAATTGGAAAAGGAGGAGGCCTGAGATGACAGTGGGTTGAAAAGGAGCGTGAGCAGATGGTGTAAAGGGGACAGAAGTGAGGCCGTGCTCTCCATGCAGGGTCCTTGCCTGCTTGTCTAGTGTGGGAGCAGCCGCCTTCATGCTGAGTGCTTCTCAGGCTGGGAGAGAAAGGAGCAGTGTATTTCAGTGGAACAGCATTGACTGGTACACCCTTAATTTAGAATATGGATGACTCAGACATGGGATGGACTGCAGTTTAACTTTAGGTTGGTTGTGATGGAAAAAGGATTTGCTAAGCAAGGTATCATCACAAACAAGATCTTGGGGACTGTTTAACTTTCCAAAAGAGGACACGCTCTCAAGCACTTATTGAACTATCATCTTCAAGCAGTGCCAATTACCACTGTCTCTGTCTGTCCATTTAGGGATTCATTTAAGTTTTGGCAGACCTGCCCCTTAACAACATTCCATGTTCTCTGTATGGATTGAAAATAATAAAGCTTCCATAAAAATATGTACACGTATGTATCTCCAGCCAGCCAGCCAGCCAGCGGTTCAATCTGATGAACCCCTGTATATATCTGCCTAAAAACCTTTTCAGGCATTCTATGTGAATATTGGTCAAACTATCGTGGTTTGGAAATGTGACCTTTAGGAGGAAAGCCCAAGAGCAGCCAGCTGTGGAGTCAAGAACGCTTTGCTGGGAGCCAGAATCCCTGGATTTAGGTTGGGTTCCCTCTCGGCCTCTTGATTTAGCTGTATGTTCTTTGACAAGTCTCTTAACGCTTTCAGGGGCTCAGTCTTCTAATCTGAAAAATGGAAATAACTGCACTCCTTCACTGCCAACTCCTCCCAGCCCTCATTGTAGGTTGTGGAATGATTCATAAGGCTTGAAAGCCTTGTTTGTAAACTATCAAGCACTGTTAGCATTGTTGGAATCAAAAATAAGAGAAGGCTTCCTTAAATAAAGATGGCAAAACAAAGGCATTCTGCAGAAACCCAATGAAACCAAAAAAGAGTGAAAAACAGAGAAATAAATGGCATCAATGAAATAGACAAATGGTTCCAACCCAAAACTACAAAACATGAAGCAGACTTTACACTGCAGTAGGGGCTTGATTTTTTTGTCTGCATAACATTCTTGCCTTTGGAGACCGAGCCGTCTTGCGTTGTATAATAAATCCTGCTCGATGCGTGTTTGGAGGAGGGCTGACCCTGTCTTACCCACCCCCTTTTCCAGGGGTGGTTGTGTGACCCAGGGCTGGCTAATCAGAGTTCTCCAATCTACCAGCCATAGCAGTTGGTTCAGAGGTGGGCACATGATCTAAGCCAGGCCAATTGAATTTCTCCCTGGGACTTTTGCGAAAATCTTTGGGAAAAATGCCCTTTCTCCAAGTTTACAAGCTGTAAAGATGATGAGGTCTTGGAGATGACAGTGGCCATATCATTGCCTTTTGGAGGGTGACTCTGAGAGGGAAGTGATGCATAAACAAACAGAGCCAAGGAATGGAGATAGTGACCAAATTCAAGGGTGGTGTGTAAACCCCTAGATCCAGCTATGCCTGAGGCTACCACATCTGCATTGTAGACTGCTCTGTTTTGTGAGCCAATATTTTCCTTTTTCTTTCTCTCTCTCTTCTTCCTTCCTTTCTTCCTCCTACCTTCCTACCTTCCTTCTTTTCTTTCTACCTTCTTTCTTCCCTCCCTTCCTTCCTTTCTTCTTTTCTCTTTCTCCCTTTCTTCTTTTCTCTTTCTCCCTTTCTTCTTTCCTTTATTTATTTCTATTTTTTGACAGGGACAGCGTGTGGTCCTTTAGGTTTTTGTCACTTGGAATATTGCAACCAAAGGAGTCTAGGTAACCTTCCAGACTCTATGAAATATGGATGAAACCAAGGGGTAATTTGAGAGCAGACACCTCCTCAGACCTTGAGCAAGAAACAGATTTCACCAAAAGTGAGTGTTTTCGTTCAGAAAGGTGTTTCCAATAGTCTTTAATTAAAGAAATGAGATCTAAGGATGTGGGCAGGCCACGAGAGAAGTGGAGGTGCCCCTGTAAAGATCCCATTCAAGATCCAGATATTGAAGTGACTGAGGGGAATGGAGCTGAGGGCGACATGCTCTCCTCATTTCCTGTGAGCCAGTTAGTCTGTGTGTGGGGGGCAGGGCAAGGGGGTGTGCTAGATTAGAACTCAAGGAGCCTATCGTGTAACAAGCCTTCTCTGTGAGTCACAGCAACCTGCTACACACAAACCAAGGGAATGCACACTTCAGGTCAAGAAAAACAACAGACGTGGTAAATGGATGTTCAAGAAAACAAAAGTTGAAGCTATGGAGTAACCCAGCTCTCTCCCTCTGTGGATCCTATTCATTCTTCAACAAATAAATGACTCTGTTTAAAGATAAATAACATTAGGACAAGAGTTAACATGGGACTCAAGCATCAATACATAAAGAACATAACAAAAGACAAATGAAGAAAATGTATCACGAAAGGAATTACCCTCCAAAACCAAGGAGAGTTAAAACAATTTTCCATAGTGTCAAAGAAATTATAATGTAATTGCTTTCTTAAAGAAAAAAGAGCTCTTCTTTGGGTTATAAGAATTCAAATTAGAGATTATAAGCCCGCCTAAAGAGATGAAAAATATGCTTGCCATTCTCAAAAAAGAAATGAAAGAAAATTGTAAAAACAGGGAAAGGAAAGTCACATTAGAGATAAAAATGAGAATAAAACCTAAAGCTAAAAATGCAATGAGACATGGTGGACAGGCTAGAGGAAACCACAGAAAAAGAAGTGGGTAAGAAGACAGAAAAATGGTTAGACAGATTGAGATAGATATGGGAGGCATGACTCTTGTCTTCCTGCAGGAGCGAATCTTCCTTCTCCTCTCCCCTCCTGGTGCTGTCTTACTTTGAACTAAGTGCCAGGC